CCAGAAGGAAATAACAGAGTTTCCAGTGTGATTGAAAGGTGCAGGAGGATTGCTGGGCACTTCCACCGCAGTGTGAAGGCTAGCCAACTGTTGAGGCAGGAGCAGGAGAAAGCAGGTCTTCCCACACACTGTCTACAGCAAGATGTCAGTACACGTTGAAACTCTACTGTGGAGATGCTACGGTTTTAGAGCAGCAGCTCTAAATCCATAGTCTGGCATCAGACCAGTACATTGGTATTGGTTCTCCACTAGTTAAAGATGACTGGACAGTGATAGCTCAGCTAATGGCAGTCCTGAAACCATTTAGGGATGCCACTGAAAATTTAAGCTTGAACACTGCCAATCTGGGACAGGTAAATGCTGAGGTTAAACCAAGAGGTTGTTCAAGGTGACCCTCTACATCCTGATGTAGTAACTCTGGTCAGGAGGCTGAAGGATCAGCTTAAAGTTTGCCTACTTGAATGGTTTGATAATTCTCCCAAACTGATGCTAGCTTGCCTGTGTGATCCAATGATTAAGGGGAAGCTTGCACTCAGATCCAATATCCTAACTTGGAGGGAGAAACTGATCCAGATGGTGTGTGACTGTCAGCAAAAGAGGGGAATGTTGTCTGAGGGAGTAGTTCAGCAGGAGGCAGAGATGTCTGCTACATCTAACACTGTTTTTAATTGCTTTCATCACTCATTTTTGTATACTCACTATGCTCTTATCAGGATTTAATTTAACACTTGTAATTTTCAACACTAGTACTATTTAATTTGTTCCCCCACATTTTTAGTGTAGGACCCACCAATATTGGGGTACTTTGAAAGTAGTGGTGGGCTTAACAACATAAGTGGTGGGCTTAACACCCCGCCCAGGCCCCCCAACTTCAGAGGCTCCTTTAGAGGTGGCCACAGGTGTGTATTAAAATATTCCAGGATGCAGGATACCAATATTAACAAATTTATTTAACACACTTCAAACTAGAGGTAGCTTGGATACAAAACTAAAAAAGTCCACTGTGCAGTTAAATTGAACCTAATGCGTTTTGGCAAAAGCCTTTTACAAAAGTTCATTATTCACCTTTTATTACAGGTCGTTTAAATACTTCAAATATTGCCACCTTTTTTCGTTCGCCTTGACACTCCCACTTCTGTTTCCGGCACCAGGGCTGCATTCTCCATCCTGGCACCCTTTCCTTTTGATTACCGCTTCCTTTGGATGACGTCATGGCACAATCCTCCGTAAGACAGCCACTAGAGGCTGGCTTAACCCCTAATGTAAACATAGCAGTTTCTCAGAAACTGCTATGTTTGCATCTGAAGGGTTAAAACCTGAGGGACCTGGCACCCAGACCACTTCATTGAGCTGAAGTGGTCTGGGTGACTATAGTGTCCCTTGAAATTACCGGATATCATCAGATGATATGGAATGTAATATTGCAAAAATAGGAAAAGGATTCGTACTTAGTTCACTTGTGACAGGCTGCTTAGCTGAACCAAGGGCCAGCAGAAGCCCAGAAGAAAAATACCAGTATTAGAAAAGGGGACCAGGCACGACAATGTCTTCAGGCATCTTTATTGGAACATGTGGAATAATGCAACGTTTCAACTCTCAATGGAGTCTTTGTCAATGTATGTGGAATGTATTATGCCATAATTATATGGTACAATTTATACAATTTGATGTTAAGGCAATTCTTTTTTTCATGAAGTTTTTTCATAACAACACCCTGTTTCAAATTATTATGCAAATTCTATTTAAGTGTCACAAAGATTAAATATTTTGTTTTTCAGTTCAACTCATGGATGGCATGGTGTCTCAGGGCTCTTTTGATCACTGAAAACAATCTCAGACACCTGTGATAATTAGATTGCCAGGTGAGCCCAATTTAAGGAAAAACTACTAAAGTAAGGGTGTTCCACATTATTAAGCAGAACACAATTTTCATGCAATATGGGGAAGAAAAGGGACCTCTCTGCTGTCGAAAAGAGTAAAATAGTTAAATGCCTTGGACGAGGTATGAAAACATTAGATATTAAACGAAAATGTAAGCGTGATCATCACACTATTAAGCGATTTGTGGCTGATTCAGAGCACTGACGGGTTTGTGCAGATAAAGGTACATTGAGGAAGATTTTTGCCAGATCCATGCATCGAATCAAGAGAGCAGCTGCTAAAATACCATTACATAGCAGCAAACAGATATTTGAAGCTGTTGGTACCTCTGCAGTCCCACGGACATCAAGGTGTAGAGTCCTCAAGAGTCTTGCAACTGTGCATAACCCTTCTATTTGGGCACCACTAACCAATGCTCACAAGCAGAAACGGCTGCATTGGGCAGAAAAATACATGAAGACTCATTTTCAAACAGTCCAGTTCACTGATGAGTGCCGTGCAACCCTGGATGGTCCAGATGGATGGAGTAGTTGATGGTTGTTGGACGGCCGTTTTGGGCCGGAATCACGAGAAGAGAGCTGGTCGGCCCTTTTAAGGTCCCCGAAGGTGTAAAGATGACCTCTGCAAAGTATGTGGAGTTTCTGACTGACCACTTTCTTCCCTGGTACAGAAGGAAGAACTATGCTTTCCATAATAAAATCATCTTCATGCATGACAATGCACCATCTCATGCTGCAAAGAATACCTCTGCATCATTGGCTGCTATGGGGATAAAAGGAGAGAAAGTCATGGTATGGAGCATCCTCAAGCAAAATATCTATGAGGATGGGAGGCAGCAACACTCCAAGCAAGTCACCCTACTGCAGAAAAAAGTTAAGCTCATAGGAGGGTGACTGCAAATATAAACATTATAACCTGTGTGTGTATCTGTGTGCCAGTGTGTGTATCTGTTTCAAGATATGTATGTGTCAGTGTGTGTATCTGGGTGGGTGTATCTGTCTGTCAATGTGTGTATCTAAAGTGTGTGTGTATGTGCCAGTACGTGTATCTGTCAGTGTTAATCTGTATGTCAGTGTGTATCTGCCAGTGTGTGTGTGTGTTTGTGTGTGTATCTGTGTGTATGTGCCAGTGTGTGTATCTGTTCACTAGTGTGTGTATCTGAGTGTGTGTGTATGTGCCATTGTATGTATCTGTTTGTTAGTGTGTGTATATGCCAGTGTGTATCTGTTCACTAGTGTGTGTATCTGAGTGTGTGTGTATGTGCCATTGTATCTATCTATTTGTTAACGTGTGTATGTGCCAGTGTTTGTATCTGTATTCAAACAAAAGTGTCAGCGCTTAGATAGAAGCGTAGCTTCTATCTCTCAAACCTTCCTCTTGCTCTCTCTTAAAGCGCCCCACTGAACTCTCACCTCCAGTTCTGCTACTTTCCCACCATGTCTATTTGCTGTCTCCCTCAATACCCTTCTTGTTGTGTTTTTATACCCCACCTCCTCTCGATTGTAAGCTCATTTGAGCAGGGTCCTCATTGTTGAATTATGAGCTCATTCCGTTTCTATTCCTAAGTGACGGAGATACACAGCTGTTAAGGGATTGGATACCCCTCCTCTAGATCTGATAGGCTGTAACCGACCTTTGACCCCAAAAGCAGTTACCAGGTTCCCATTTGCATAATTGCTGCTCAGCATTAACCCTTCTGTGGATTTGGTTGCTGCTCGGCACAACTTTTCCTGTGTGGACAGTAAATGTCATTAACCACATTTTTATAAGTGGATGAATACGTGACAGTATCTGTGTGTGTATGTGTCAGTTTGTGTATCTGTGTGCCAATGTGTATAAGCATTACTGAATTTGTTGCCGCTGTATAAATGCCATAATAATAATAATAATAATAAGTGTATTTGTGTGTATCTGCCAGTGTGTGTATCTGCCAGTGTGTGTATCTTTGTGCCAGTGTGTGCGTATGTGCCTGTGTGTGTATATGTGTGTATGTGCCAGTGTGTATCTGTGTCAGTTTATCTGTCAGTGTGTGTATATATCTATGTGTATGTGCCCATATGTGTATCTTTGTGCCACTGTGTGTATCTGTGTGTATGTGCAGGTGTTTGTATCTGTGGCATAGTATGTGTATGTGTCAGTTTGTTTCTGTTTGTTAATGTGTATGTATATCTGTATAAGTATGTATGTGGCAGTGCATGTGCAGACATCCAAGCAATCAAACACCAACACAAAATGCAAACACACCCTTGCACACACAACCATGACATACTAAGACACCCCTGAACTCCAACTCCAAAAATATATACAAACACTCAAACACCAATACTACACATAAATGTACATCTGCATTTAAAATCCAGCACTACATCCAAGCACACCCCTGCATGAAAATGCAAACATTACATACAAACACAACCCTGTATTAAAATGCTACAATTATATACAAACACCAACTCTACACACAGAAGCATACCTGCTCCTAAGTAATACAATCTGTTTACTAGTTGAGCGGACACCTGGATGTTCGGGTCCGGCGGGTTCGGCCGAACTTTGAAAAAAAGTACGGGTTCATGATCCAACTTGACCCCGAACCTGAACCCCATTGAAGTCAATGGGGACCCGAACTTTTGAGGAGGAAGTGCACAAGGAGGTGGAACGGCGCCTGACATATTACCGAGAGCCACCCTCAGAGGAGATTGTCAGCAGGACCTTTTTGGAGGTGCAAGTCTATGTCTTTGCCAATAGACAGAGGGCGACCTCCATGAACCCAGATGAAGGAAGAAGGGAGCAGAGGGCGCCGGGAAGCACAACCACCCTGGCCCAAAAGCTACCATACAATGCCATCAAAGACTTCAAGGAAGCAGAAGGCATTGGTGACTTTTTATAAGACTTTGAGCACCAGTGCCTACTCCAAGACGTGGACCCTAGCGACTGGGCTACCATCCTGGCCAGCAAACTAGTGGGGAAGGCAGAGAATTACACAAATACTCCTGGCCCAGTATGCAGTCACCCCCGAGCAATACGGCAGAAAATTGAGGGAGACCCAGAAAGGGGAGAAGGACTCCCATGCGAAGTGGACCTGCCGCATCACAAGGACCACCCAGAACTGGCTCAACTCCCATCAAGTCATGTTCCCATGAGGAGATCACCCAGCTCATCATGCTAGAGCAATTTTTCAATGGGCTCCCCAACAACAAGGCGACGAAGCATTCGTATGTCATCCATATCAACTTTCGATGCCATTTACTGTGCCTACCATGGTGACCATGGGTAACGGGGAATCAGGGCTCGATTCCGGAGAGGGAGCCTGAGAAACGGCTACCATATGCAAGGAAGGCAGCACGCGCGCAAATGACCCACTCCCGACGCGGGAAGGTAGTTGACGACAAATAACAATACAGGACTCTTTAGAGGCCCTGTAATTGTAATGAGTCCACTTGAAATCCTTTAACTCTGATCAACTGGAGGGAAGTCTGGTGCAGAGCGACTGACCCTTGCGTGCTGCAGCTGAAACTCCACTATCGCCTGCTGCTGCTCGCACAGTCTCTCCAGCACATGCAAGGTGGAGTTCCACCTTGTGGTCACGTCGCATATGAGGCGGTGAGCGGAAAGGCCAAAGTTACGCAGCAGGTAAAAACGCCAAAAGCGCACACAGCCACTACACTGAATGTCAAATCTTGTTCCAAGTTGCGGATCAGTCTGGGGATGGCTTCTGGTATCCAGTATTCTTTTTACTAAAGCTGCATCAGGGTCCTGGTATGTGGCCGCACAAACGCTAGTGCTCAACACCAGGCGGCGTGTGGTTACCCTGCACCAGACCCTGCTAATCTATTCCACATTGTGACTCCTAACTTCAACATCAGGCATACTAGGTCCCGGTCGTCCGACCGCCGCCCAGACAGTGTCTGGGTCCCAGTCACCGGACTGCGAAACTGCGAATGGCTCGTTAAATCTGTTATAGTTCCTTTTATCACTCCATCTGTTACTTGGATAACTGTGGGAATCCTAAAGAAAATACATGCCGACGAGCGCTAGGGAACGGCCGCTCCGCTATTGCACCATGCTCCCTCTTATGCTGTGCTGGTGCCTCTGTGTGACCAGTGCCTCTTCCTCCAAACTGCACACGTCACTCGCATGACCTTCATTCCATGTGGGGTCTAGGACCTCCACATCATCTTCCACCCACTCCTCAACCCTGCCCTCCTTGTTGGTCTGCACACTGCAGAAAGTCAGAGCAGTTGGCACCTGTGTTTTTCCAGCATGTAAAGTCTGCAAAGGACATATGGAAATTGTTTTAGAATTGTATCCAGGCAACAGTTTTCCCTATAAACTGACCTCTCAGTTTGACTTGTGAGGGTATTGCCTCCGAATTACAATATTGTTATATTGGTATTTGACGGTTCTATTTGACTCTCAGATATGAAGTGCACCGCAGGCTGCAAATGTACTATTTAGCATCCAAAAAATTGAATGTTTAAAAATGCTATGTCGCAGCACTATTTGACGCTTCTATTTGACTCTCAGATATGAAGAGCAGGGCCCAAATTTACTATTTAGCAGATTAGCACCCAGAAAATAAGAATGTTTCAAAATGTGCTGTAACCGCTCTATTTGATGCTTCTATTTGACTCTCAGATATGAAGAGCACACCCCAAATTTACTATTTAGCAGATTAGCACCAAAACAATTAGAATTTTTACAACTGCGCTGTAAGCGCAGTATTTGATGTTGCTGTTTGACTCTCAGATATGAAGAGTGAACAAAGAATTAAGTAGAAGTATAGATCAGGGTGTTGCAGTGGATGTGATCTATTTGGATTTTGCCAAGGCATTTGATACAGTTCCACACAATAGATTAGTGTTCAAACTAAAAGAAATCGTTCTAAATGAAAATGCTTGTTCTTGGGTAGAACATTGGCTTAAAAACAGAGAACAAAGAGTTGTCATTAATGGTAAATTTTCAAGCTGGACAGAGGTGGCAAGTGGTGTCCCTCAGGGGTCTGTTCTAGGACCCCTTCTATTTAACATGTTTATAAATGATCTTGAAGACAGCATTGAAAGTCATGTTTCAGTGTTTGCAGATGACACAAAACTCTGTAAAATAATACAATGTGAGCAAGATATTACTTTGCTGCAGAGGGATTTAGATAGACTGGGGGACTGGGCACCCAAATGGAAGATGAAATTTAATGTTGAAAAATGCAAAGTTATGCACTTCAGCGTAAAGAATACACAAGCAACGTATACCCTTAATGGAAGCGAATTAGGGATAACAACACATGAAAAGGACTTGGGAATTGTTATAGACAACAAACTATACAACAATATGCAATGTCAATCAGGAGTGGCCAAGGCCAGTAATGTATTGTCATGCATGAAAAAGGGCATTCATTCTCGGGACGAGAATATCATTTTATTGTCTCTTTTTATTGAAGTGGCTATGGTGCATAGAGAGTTCCTTTAATAATATAATGTACAACAATTCTTATTTTTATATCGGGAGAGAGAGTATTAGTTATTGACAAGTAGGATAATGGCAGAGACCACAAGTCACATAAGTATATACAGTGTATACATATAAATGCTTAGTTCCCAAAGAATTCCATGTTACTAAAGGGTCCCCCATGTGAGGATAACTGGTAAACTGAACATTCAGAGAAGGACTCTGAATCAAGGGGTCTATCCACATACATCTGTTTCAATGTATTCTACTGCTTAACTATGGAATTGACTATCTGGTTCATAGCAAGTTTACACGTAGCTATATGCACTATAATTAAAAGTGGAACATAAAAAAATGACCAAAATATCTCCAATATATGAAGTACATTCTCAAAATAACAGTATATAAATACAGCAAGCGAGAGAGCAAGAGAGAGACTGAGAAGGTAGACAGAAACAGAGAGTTGAAGTAAGTGAGAGAGAGCGACACAGTCCATTTAGAAAAAGTGCAGAGGGGGGCCACAAAATTAATAAAAGGAATGGAACATATCAGCTATGAAGAAAGGTTAACAAATTTAAACCTATTTAGTTTACAAAATGTCGCATGTGAGGGGATATGATAACATTATACAAATATATTCGGGGGGCCAATACAAACCATTGTGTAGAAATCTATTCAGAAACCGAACTTTACATAAGACACGAGGTCATGCGTTTAGACTGGAAGAAAGAAGATTTCGTCTATATTTATATTATGATCACTTCACGATATGTAAATAGTGCAAATAGGTTACTAATTTTTCACTTCATTCACTACCCAGACTGTGAACGTATATATATTTCTTTACTATGTTCATATTGAATTTCATGTATTAAATTTAATAATTGAGCTAAGCCTCTAGTTTTATTAGTGATATTATCAATTATGGCACATATTTAATTTTTCTACATCACAAAGAGATCAAACATTAACACTAGTTTACTTTTAGACAAATAAATCATTTTTTCCTCTGGATGAAGCTTGCGCCTAGATACATATTGGTTTATAACGAGTCTAGAACGCACAGCCATCTTAATAGATGTCCAGACGTGGAACGCATGGAAGTACATTGCAACAGATCCGACGGATACTTGAAAACACCGGCGGGAAAGAGTAATTAACAGGAAGCAAAGACACCTGCTACAAGCAACACACCAATGAATCTGGAGTTTAGAAGAGAGGACGCCCACCACTCCACCTATTATGTTTTAGCCCTATATAAGGAACATTGGGGGGAAGGGTATTTAGGATGTGATTTTTTTTGTATTACATTGTTACTGATTTTACCTATATGGGTCCCTGAGGAATTTCTCACGTGAGAACAAAATGCATAGGTTGACCATATTTTTAATTTTTTTGTATACTATTTTAGTTTGTATAATACATCCTCTTTTTGGAAGAATACTTTGGTTATCATTGTTGATGTTTCAAGTAGACCGGTCCGGAGAGGAGTCCGAAGGAGGTATTTTACCCCCTACTATAATCGAGGGTGGCACCCACAAGGCGCTGTTAAAATCTGTATCTGTGAGTGCAACTGAGAATTTGCATTTTCTGTTCATCAGACATTATTGCACTATGTTATTTTTTTATTATTCATAGGTTCACCCACAAGATCCCTAAATTCAGAATATATACATAACGTTACACTCTGCCTTAGCCATACCTCTGGAGCATTGGGACCAGTAGCCCTCACTCAGTGACAAACCGATCAAAAATTTGTAATACTGACTTGTGGAAAAGAGCCAGGGGACTCAATCTCTTTTTATTGAAGTGGCTATGGTGCATAGAGAGTTCCTTTAATAATATGATGTACAACAATTCTTATTTTTATATCGGGAGAGAGAGTATTAGTTATTGACAAGTAGGATAATGGCAGAGACCACAAGTCACATAAGTATATACAGTGTATACATATAAATGCTGCTCTAGTTCCCAAAGAATTCCATGTTACTAAAGGGTCCCCCATGTGGGGATAACTGGTAAACTGGACATTCAGAGAAGGACTCTGAATCAAGGGGTCTATCCACATACATCTGTTTCAATGTATTCTACTGCTTAACTATGGAATTTACTATCTGGTTCATAGCAAGTTTACACGTAGCTATATGCACTATAATTAAAAGTGGAACATAAAAAAAATGACCAAAATATCTCCAATATATGAAGTACATTCTCAAAATAACAGTATATAAATACAGCAAGCGAGAGAGCAAGAGAGAGACTGAGAAGGTAGACAGAAACAGAGAGTTAAAGTAAGTGAGAGAGAGCGACACAGTCCATTTAATATTTCATACCCTTCCCCCAACAGTAATTAATTTAATGCGTTCTCTCTTTTTAGATGTCAGCCAAGAGAATAATTAGAGGCTAATAAAACATTGGAAAGTTACACATGCAAAATGCAATATACAGTAAACAATAGGGCGAGTAAGGATGCCGGCGTGCGATGCCTGGGCATTACCTTGGATAAACTGTGTGCACATTGACACTGTCACGCTCTCCGCAGCCCTGAGTGTGCTGGTAGCTCGGTGCAGACAGACAGCTTGAATTAATCCCAAGAGGAGTGCATGACAGGCGAGAGAAGCAGACAATTAGAATGAAGGAGGAAATTGGAAATGGCAAAGGTGTGAACATATGTCAAATTACAACTAAATGATAAATTACAATTCTGTCATTGAAATAAATGGTAATTAAGAAAGATTTCAGCTATCTCTCATTTTTTTTAATAAAAAGACAATAATATAATGTATTTGGCTTGTCATTTTTTAAACACGCATCTGATTGCTAAATTGCTTGAGTTTTGCGTGTGTCCATCCCCGGTCCCTGGATTTCTATGTATTTTGCAGGAGTGTTGTTTGTGTACATTAAATATAATTCTTCTCCTGCTCCTCTTCTCTCATT